GCCCCAGCCCCAGCCCCAGCCCCAGCCAGCATACAACTTCTAATGGGGCAGGGAGGGGGGAGCTTCAGTCCTGCTGGAGGTGAGGGGAGCAAAGGAGCACCTGGCCGACCGCAGCCTTACCAGAAACAGCCCCACCAGAAGCTGCATGCTGGCTGGGGCTAGAGCTGGCAGGAGTGTGGTGCGGACTGCCCTGGCGGGAGCAGGTGTAACTCAATCCCATGTGGAGAACTGCGGGGGCAGCCATGGGCTGGGTCCAGCCAGTTGGTGGACCATATTTTGCCTACCCCAAGTTACACTGTTCTCAGTGCTGGAAGATAACAGAACAAGGACCAATTGTTTCAAGTTACAGCAAGGGAAGTTGAGGTTAGATATTAGGAATAACTTTCTCATGAGGAGGGTAGTAAAGCACTGGAACAGGTTACCCACAGACTTTGTGGAATCTCCATCCTTAGAGGTTTTTAAGACTTGGCTAAACAAAGCCTTGGCTAGGATGATATAGTTGGGGATGATCCTGCTTTGAATAGGAGGTTGGACTAGATGACTTCTTGAGGTCCCTTCCAGCCCTTATTTTCTCTGATTCTACAATTCCTTTGATTCTGTATTATCAGCATTGTCATAGTGATCTTTGGCATAAAGCTATTTTAAAATTTTATTTCCTTGTTGTTGAAGAATAAGTCATCCTAAAGAGGTATTTACTATTTATCCCACTTTTTTTTAAAGATGGGCTGTTTTTATAAAATAAAACGAAACATTACAAGCTTTGCAGTTAGCTTCTGAAAGCTGTCTTTCATTGATAAAAGCACCTAATAAATATTTTTCAGGATTTCACAAGGCGATGGTGAAGACCATGAGTGCTGCTTTGAAGATTCCTCACTTTGGTTACTGTGATGAGATTGAGTTGAATCAACTCGTGCAGTTGAGAGAAGAGTTGAAACCTCTAGCACAGGCTTGTGGAGTTAAACTCTCCTTTATGCCTTTCTTCATAAAGGTGAGAAATACCGGACTGCAACTCATTGTATGAAGTAGTAATATGGATGCCACAAAATCTTCTGTTGTATCCTTTCAGCATGCATGTGGCTCAGATGCATCCTGGACATTGCAGCATGCAATTTTAATGTGGAGGACAACTTTTTTCTTGTTAGTTGGGCCTTTTGACAACGCATTGTTAAATAACTAGCATTGTTAGGGCTTATATTTTCTGGATGAGAAGATTTCTGGAATAATGTTGGGGGGGGTGTAGAGAAGGTAAATTATCACTCAATTTGGGTCTGTATTTCTTGTGTCATATTACACTTGTAGAATAGCCAGAACCAAGCCACAGAAATTATTTCAATGTCTTCATAAGTCTTACTACAATGTGTCTGCATCTTTATCTTATATTTCAAACATGATACAGTACTGTTTTTATTTTATTTTTCTGGTATTTTCATTGTATTTTTTTATTTTACTTTTTCTAATAACAGATATTGTTCCTTCATGTAAATAGCAAAAAGCTTTTGTTATTTACAGGCCAACTGTTTTCACTCATATTGCCTTGGTAACATTTCCTACCAGCTGCCATTATTGCAGTGTTCACCAGAAAGCTGGCAGGGCTGAAGATATGGCTTACTGTAAAGGAACTGTTAGAACAGTTTTATGCTGAGAGCTAACAGTTAGAACAGTCATTCCCTCCTGCCACAACCTCTTCCTAGAATATGAAGTATTCCTTGAGAGGATTATTCTGTCAATATATGGCCTGAAGTGTTACGCTGCCCCAGAATCACTGGTTAGCTTTGGCAAATCTGATTTGGGCCTTGACATGAGGAGTTGCCTTATCACTTAAACTTATCAAAAGCTGAAATCCTCTAATGTGATTACATTTACTGTACACAGGGAAAAAGAGCTTGATCTTTATTTTTCAAAAATCTGTTCAACCTGCATTTAGGATTGCTGCATAACTAGCAGCAGGAAAACTTGAAGTTGAATTCATTGGTAAGTGGTGCTTAAGAAGAAAATATTGGATGTAGGAGACTGTTACTATGTGTCAGCATCTGTTCCTCAAAAGTAGTTCATTAAAGTGGCTGGATCTTAGGAATCCTTTTTCAGAACAAGATTCCTGATGACAGCTAGAGTACATGCTAAGAGCATAGTAGGCTGGAGGGGAAATCCAACTTCTTCTTTATTTTTTTTTATTCAGTTTCATCTTTACTTTTCATAAATTGCTTTTCTTTTATCCTTCTTGCCATTAGAACTCAGCAACACACCATGTACTGCAACAGCATAGCTACTACCTAAATATTACTCATCTAGGTACTTGTTTAGCTCTTCATGGTTTTTAAAAATAGAAATGGCAATATCCTAGACTGGGGTAGGCAACCTTTTCCAGCTGCAGGTAGGAATGACCTACCCTGGATGAGAGGGAGGTGAGGACTAGGACCTGGCCATCCCTTGTCCCCACTATGGCATGGGAAGAGCACCCACAAGTCTTCCACTTGCAAAATGCCAATGGAGCCTCATGTCCATAAGCTGGATCCAATGGTTTTGTGGGCCATTTGTTGCCAACCCCTGCTGTAGGTAAACATATGATTTGCATTCTGAAAATTATAATCTGTTTCTGAGGTATGCTCATGCTGCCTCTTCTTTTAACCCCTGAGTCAGGCATTAGAATATTATGAATATATTAGCTCTGAGTAAATTTGTTTCTTTTATGTTTAACAGGCAGCTTCTCTGGCCTTATTGCATTATCCTGTTCTTAACACTTCTGTGGATGAAAACTGTCAAAATATCACATACAAGGTTTGTGAAATATTATGGAGATGCTTCTGTGCCAAAAAAACCCAGATATTACTGAAACCATCCAATTGTTAGGTAAAAATCAGAGCCCATAGTAACATTTCTGTGCAATGCTGGGAACTTATTTGTACATCAGGATCCCTGTCTAATGTCAGAATGGATTGAATGCAGAGTGTGAGATTTGATCTAATTTATGCTATTTACATACCAGCAGCAAAGACATGCTATTGCTAGCGTATTGACACACTGTCACTTTCCAACAAAACGAACAAACAAACAAAACCCCCTAATTTCAGTCCTGGAAGGATCATCTTCAGTAACGAGAGAGAGACTATCACAGTCTTACTGAAGATTTATTTAAAGGAGATTTGAAATAGTGCTGAATAACTGGCCATTAATTCCTGAATAGAAACTGTTTCTTACAGCCCATCTGTCAGGTGT